TTTGTTATTATAATTAAATTGTTCTTATCTTAATACACAAGCTTCCTTCCTTTTTCCCTTTAATTCTCCACCCCATTCCCCAAGGTTGGGGGAGGGTGAGTGAGCAGTTGTGTAGTGTTCAGATGCCGGCTGTGCTAAACCATAATATCCACTATTTACTGTTAGGAGATTAGAGTTCTTGAAGAAAACTGACCAATTTGTTAAACTTCCCATCAAGTACAATAAGGTCGTGAAAGTAAGTAAGTAAAAAATAAGGTCTTGAAAGCAAAATAAGGTCTTGAAAGTAAAATAAGGTCTTGAAAGTAAAATAAGGTCTTGAAATAAGGACTTGAAAGGTGGTCTCAAATATTTGAACATTACCAAGCAACTGCTTTCAAGGCCAGCTCAAGCTTTCACAGAATATCCTGCCAAATACTAGAGCTCACAAACAAGAAACATGAAAACTTTACAAAAACGCCCTAAGGAAAACACTTCAAAGGAAATACAAAGCATGATTGTTTATCAACAGAAAATTAAAAGACAGATTTTCAGAATACTGTCTTAGCAAGGAGAAAACTTTGTCTAGAGAATGGGATCTTGCTCAAATTGAGTGAAGCAAGAACCTCCAATTCAGCACAGAAGCATATGTTGATCAAAAATTAAAATATTAGTTTTGCTAAAAGCATCGTTTCATGCATTACCAATCATTTCTATGAAGCAAGTTAAGATGTCAACTTCATCTTTAAAATAATCTCGCATTTTAAAATCATGACAATAAGCACTTCTAGCTTATACTGGTTAGCATCCTAAAATGCTCAATACCCAAGTGCTCCAACATCAAAAGTTACTGCTATCAAAAACTTAACTGAATAACTTACCAACATTGCTTTTGACATAGGTAGAGCTGAATTAACACAGATGAAGAAAATTGTGCTGGGTTTGGCTGAGATAGAGTTAAATTTCTTCACAGCAGCTAGTATGGGGCTCTGTTTTGTATTTGTGCTGGAAACAGTGTTGATAACACAGGGATGTTTTTGTTACTGCTGAGCAGTGCTTGCACAACTTCAAGGTCTTTTCTGCTTCTCACATCACCCCACCAGCGAGCAGGCTGAGGGTGCACGACAAGTTGGGAGGGGACACAGCTGGGACAGCTGATATCAACTGATCAAAGGGATATTCCATACCATATCATGTCATGCTCAGCATATAAAGCAGGGGGAAGAAGGAAGAGGGAGACATTCAAAGTGATGGCTTTTGTCTTCCCAAGTAAGCGTTATGCATGACAGAGTCCTGCTTTCCTGAAGGTGGCTGAACACCTGCCTGCCAATGAGAAGTACTGAATGAATTCCTTGTTTTGCTTTGCTTGCGTGCACAGCTTTTGCTTTACCCATTAAACTTTCTTTATCCCAACCCAGGAGTTTTCTCACTTTTACTCTTCCAACTTTCTCCCCCATTCCACTAGGGGATCACGAGCGAGCGGCTGGGCAGCACTTAGTTGCTGGCTAGGGTTAAACAACGACAGCAGTGTATCAAGATCTATAAAGATTCAAATTCTCCCACAAAGCAGGTGCAAGAACTGACTATAAACTGCCCTACAACAGTACTCTTCACTCTTCATCCAGATGGGCCACCTGCAAGAGCTCTAATATAAAGACTGGTCTCAAACGCAGAAAGCCATATAGGTAATGGCTGTTTTGTCAAAATTGCCTGTGAGCAACCAACTCCCAAAGCTATGGAAGACAATGTAATGGTTACTATTTGTATGTCAGAACACCCCAATTATTCCATGCCCATTTAACAACAGATGAGAGTAACAGGAGAGATTACAAGGAACTGAATGCTGCTAAGAATAAAGGCAGCTAGTTGCAGAGTTGGTTTTGGGTGGAGGTTTTTTTGTTTTCTGTAAAGCTCCAAATCTCTGATAACCAACACGTTGCAGACTTTGTTCGAGAGGAAGACTGATGTTGCTTCACAGAAACACAAGCAGGAGAGTTTCACATTAAATAACCAAATGAGTTTTCCGTTTAGCCCAAGCAGTCCCCTAGAGCAGTGATATGGGAAAATCTGCCTCAGTTCCACCCCATTCCCAGAGGCTTAATTTATGCAGAGAATATTTAGGATCTTTTCAAGTGAGCTAAAGATTTGCATATCCTAAATTATCCTTTGGTAAATGCAAGATTACCTGGACTGCCTTCAAAAGCGGCAGAATATGGTAGTGTTTATTTTACATTAAAACAGCGTTAAAAAAAACCTCAACTATTATAAAACAAAAGCATAAGGCCATTGTAATCTCATCTCCAGGTGGAACACAGGAAGCATGTCTACAGCACCTATTTATCAGCTTAATAATGATTTTGATTTTCTGAGATCCCTAGATAAAATAACTTTTAATAAATATTATTCCTGTTCAAGTTGGCATGTTTTTGAAACATCTGATTAAACCCATACACTCTTAGCAGATGAAAATGTCACACTAAGAATGGGTAAGTTTACAATTGAAATTAAATATTGCAACTTTATTTAGCCTAGGAATGATACATTTTGACAGCCTAGTACAAACATGAACTTAGAACAAGCTTGCTCTACCCAAATGCTACATGCTACCTATTAACAAAGCAAAGTTTAGGTACAATACTTATTCAGAAACTAAGTATGCATTTTATGCCCTTTCTAAAATACATTATTAACAAAGAAAGAAAAGCTAGAATTTGAATGTGAAAACCCTTTCTATTCTAAAAGGCAAAAAAGCCAAAAGCTTAAATCTACATTATTTGACTTCCAAGGCGCTTAGCATCTGCAGTTTGTTCCCACCATAAGGTTGAGCTACTCAGCGTTTCTCAGAGTTGGTTCACTTTTATTTAAACACCTAAGTAGAGATCTTAAATTGAACTTTAGGGCTCCATATCTAAACCTTTTCTAAAACTGTTTTTGACATCTCACTGAAGTTTTAACAAATCAGAAGACAATTTCTGCCTAAGATATAACCTAAACTACAACAGATAAATTAATTACATATTGTTAGAAAAAAAAATAAACAGAACACATAATGAACCAAGATCAAACACACACGTTCCCTGTTTTAACTGATAGAAGGCAGCAATCCCTCAGTGCACTTCTGTGTTTATTGTACAGACACCTTCCTAAGTAAAAGATTCACACTACTTTAACACTGTACTAGATCTACATGATTTCTCCAATGCTTTCAGCTCTGACAAGAACAGCTTACATAAAAAGCCAAAATATAATGAAGAACAGCATAAAGTACTTATGATACTGTCTGGGATCTATTTTTAGCACGAAAAAAGATGGCATCTTTGGAAATCCAAAAAGTAAAGAAACACATGTAGCTTTCTTCAGATAGGCATGCAAATTATAGATGACCTTTAAAAGCAAGATATTTCAGAGGTCATCAACAAAACACTTGATTCATATTAGAAAAAGGTGTGTAAAATACATTTCAAATGTCAAATGCTTTAATTACTATGAACTGAAAGCTTTTACAATTTTAAGAGAAAATAAAACCAAATCAATAGGTAAGTTTACAGTAACTCTAACAAAGAGCAAACTGCTGTACAAGTTTGAGTTTGTACTGCACTCACTAGTATAATTTGTTAACTCTGATGTAATTTTGTTATTGCAGAGATGCAGCAGAACAGGGCTTAACACCAGGCATTTTACTATTTAGTTTAGAAGCTCAATATCCTCTTACCCAAGACCAGTTATTAACATCACAAAAAAAAAAAAATGCAACACCAAAAGCCAGAGATTCTGAAATTTTGAAGGAATAAGGAAGAGGGGGCAGAGTAATTCATTATATCTTTACTCAGAAGCAAAAGTTACGATTTCATTAGATTGAGCACAAATAAATTCTGTAAAACGAGGCACTTTCATGCAGTTTAGCTATTTAGTGGCATTATGTTTGGGTTTTCATACAATTATTTCTGGAAAACTACTCTGTGCAAACAATATAGAGTTACAACCTCTTCTCTTTCAGCAAAACAGAAGCATACACCATGTCAATACACAGGAGATTCCTTGCACATCTCTGCCGTCACCACATTGTACAACGGCCTTTCCTACAGACATGGGGTACTATATTATTTTAATAATCTGTGGCTTATCTGTGAATGAAACAGCCCTTCATCCTGCAGCAGTGCTGGCTGAGGATGGGAAAGCAATACCACACTAATCCAACTTGAACTGTTAACAAAATGTTTGAAACGTCCTCGCTGCAGTTTACGATGTCAAAGCATCAGTCATGCACAGAGCCTGCATCCATGTAGACCAACTCCAGAACTGATTTTGACTGTTAACAAGAAGAATGATTGTAGCTATACACAGTAACCAGTTACTGGTAAGAAAAGTTAAGACTGAGGTAGTTCTTAGAGGACCTGATTACAAACAGGTACATTGTTGAAATTGTTAAACTTGCTTCCTCCTGCCTTTCTTTTATCTTTTAAAGAAGTCACAGATAAGTTTGCTGTAAACCATTACATTCAGCCGCTGAGAATTGAAACAGCAACCAGCTGCATAAGATGGAGCATGGAGCTCGGTTCCTGGAGCCTGGTTGTTCTCCTCGAGGCTGTGTTTTCACAAATCTACATTACTCTTCTAATAACTGCAGATCCACTGACAAAGGTTTGTTTGCCACCAAAGCAATAGTAAAACAGACATGCTACAGTAGATGCTCTCTGACATAGGTTATGTACAAGAGAAAGGTAATTTCACTTCAGTACATTAAATTCCAAACTTAAAACCGTTTCCACTCTGCAGAGCAGCTGTACAAGTACCTAAAAAGTCAGTACAAGTACCTACACTCCCGAAACCATGGCAGCTGATAGGTTGCTACGTGATGTTCAAGACCGAGTGCACCAGCTCTCTGGAACAAGTAGATCAACTACATTTACAGACAAACTATCAATCCAATTTATGTATACAACTTTCTCCATCAGTTTTAAATGCTCTTGAGGTGTGTTTTTCTATTTGTCTAACTGAATAGATCACAAGACTTTTCGACTTACTGTTCATGGAAATCCAGCATTGGTGGCTCAAACCGGAGAGGCCGGCAATTTCCCCGATACAGGGATACACTGAAAAAAAAAAAAAAAAAAAATCAAAACACTGTAAAAGATATTGTTAAGTGATACATTTTTGCTCCCTTCCCATTGCAAATTGCCCTATTCTAGCAAAACATTTGATAATACTAATAATAGAGCAACTAACTCAAAAGAAGAAACAGCCTGACAAACTTGTTCAGTCAGAATACTGTAATTTTACCAGCTAGTTACATGATTATATGGTGTCTCCAAGAAAGATTATGCAAGAGTACATATCTTGGAAATGGACATAATTGAAGTGTTAGTCATCACTATAAAGAGTAAAACTGAGTGAAACAGTAAACTGAACAGGTTATATAACCTTTCATAGCAATATCCAAGCATCTTCCTCAAGGTATAACAGTAATCTACATACACATTGTGAGTTTCTCTAGCTATATCTGTACTGGTACATAAACAATCTTGGACCCATATGATGGTACTGATGCCACATGAGAGAAAACATTCCATATCTATACTGTTAAAAAGTCAATCTCCAGAAGACAGCAACTCCACTTTAGAAACATTCCTTAGCTTTGTCTATACTATCCTCTCACTGGGAACTCTGCAGGAGAATGCCAGTAGAGAAAGACTAAAACTTAAATAACAGTCAAACAATCCAGTAACAAAGCACCTGGAAACATTCTTTACTACTGCTTAGCTCACCAGTACAGTTATAGAGAGCACAATCAATAACCCACAACATAAGTTACAAGAAAAAAATAAAACAAAAACCAGTTTCATTGACTGAAACATTTTCTCATTCAGAATGATGTCATTGTGACCACACTTAAGTATCTCTAATTCTGTAACACACTATTTTGGGCGGAGTAAAAATCATGTTTGTACATTAAAACATAAAACAGGGAGATGATAAGGTAAAAGAAATAAACAGGAAAGGCTAAAGAATGGCTCAAGACCAATAGCACTCTTTTTTTTTCCTTTAAATGCTTTTGTTACTGATGTTAAAATTGCACTCTTGTACTTGATACTTGTTCTCTGACAAGATCAATCTCTTGTATCAATCCTAGAGCCCCAAAGACAGAGCTGCAGCCATGTATCCAGGGTAAGCAAAGCTGCTCCACAAACCCTGCCAGGGCAGCAGAACCACCCAGTTCTGCCTCAGGGGAAGAAGTTAGGACATGGAAGATGCCCTCGGATGGGTGCATGTGGTTTGCCTTATGAATGCTGAGGCCTTGAACTCAATCAATCTAATTCCATCCAGCATACTTCACGGAAAATTAATTATTGATAAATTCATATGTCTTTCCATTCTCCAGAACCACTTCAACAAGGAAGCTATTTATAGGAGTAAAAATTTAAAAAAATGATATGAAATGTTAACTGTGTTCTCCAATAGCACAGATCTGGGCAACAACAGTGTAACAAATCCATTGCTTTTTTTTTTTTTTTTTAAATAAAAATACGACTTACTGTAGTATTCTACAACTGATGCTTTACACTTCAAGTATAATACATGTGTAATAGGGAGATCTAGTCATGCTCATTGATTCACAGCTTTCTAAGTTTCGATGTCTAAGCATCTTCAATACTACTGAGAGCTTAGTCATCAAAAATAACTTTATCCACCTAACTAAAGTAAATTATTGGAGGAAGAGTAGGCATAGTATAGTTGGCTTTAGTGCATACTTGTTTGTGTGTGTGCATACATACATGCATATGTATACTTGTATGTATATATAGATCACAAAACAACAAAAATTAGGTGTACACTAACATGAAGAAATGTATTCAGATATACAGAAAATTACAGTTCTTGCTACCAAGTTCTGCTATGACTCATTATAGTCATTGAATAAGAGAGGGCTTAAGTACACCTTGCCTGGCTAAAATCAAATCTCATGGAACAAGTGCTCAACAAGTTTAGAGACTCTGGACATAAAAGAATAAAGTTGGAAAGTTATATTAGTAGTGATATTTTGAAATAACTCGAAGAGCTGTGGTCAACCGTTCAACGTCCAAGTGGAGGCCAGTGACAAGTGGTGTTCCACAGGGGTCAGTACTGGGGCCAGTGCTATTTAACATCTTTGTTGGTGACATGGACAGTGGGATCGAGTGCACCCTCAGTAAGTTTGTAGATGACATCAAGCTGTGTGGTGTTGTGGACATGCTGGAGGGAAGGGATGCCATCCAGAGGGACCTTGACAGGCTGAAGAGATGGGCCTGTGAGAACCTCATGAAGTTCAGCAAGGCCAAGTGCAAGGTCCTGCACACGGGTCAGGGCAACCCCAAGCACAAGTACAGGCTGAGCAGAGAATGGATTGAGAGCAGCACGGAGGAAAAGGACTTGGGAGTGCTGGTGGATGAGAAGCTCAACATGAGCCGGCAATGTGCACTGGCAGCCCAGAAAGACAACCGTATCCTCGGCTGCATCAAAAGAAGTGTGGCCAGCAGGTCGAGGGAGGTGATTCTGCCCCTCTACTCTGCTCTCGTGAGACCCCACCTGGAATACTGCGCTCAGCTCTGGAGTCCCCAACACAAGAAGGACATGGAGCTGCTGGAGTGGGTCTAGGAGAGGGCTGCAAAGACGATCTGAGTGCTGGAGCACCTCTGCTATGAAGACAGGCTGAGAGAGTTGGGGCTGTTCAGCCTGGAGAAGAGAAGGCTCCGGGGTGACCTTATAGCAGCTTTCCAGTATTTAAAGGGGGCCTACAGGAAAGCTGGAGAGGGGCTTTTTACAAGGATGTGTAGTGACAGGACAAGGGGCAATGGCTTTAAACTGAAAGAGGGGAGATTTCGATTAGATATAAGGAAGAAATTTTTCACTCAGAGGGTGGTGAGGCAGTGGAACAGGTTGCCTAGAGAAGTTGTGGCTGCCCCATCCCTGGAAGTGTTCAAGGCCAGGTTGGATGAGGCTTTGAGCAACCTGGTGTAGTGGAGGGTTTCCCTGCCCATGGCGGGGGAGTTGGAACTAGATGATCTTTGAGGTCCCTTCCAACCCGAACCATTCTATGATTCTATGAAAGCATAAAACAAGGCGATAATGTGACTTCAAAGTGATGATATCATTTTTCAAAGTTTATGGTCCAATTAAAAAAATCCAACAAAACAAAACAAAAACAAACAAAAAAAACCACAAAACAAAATTACACCATCACCACACATTTGGAGTCCATTTTTAAACCGAAAAGGACAAAAAGGACATGTACCTCTATTGTCAAGATGACACTAAACAGAAACTACTCTTCTTCAATAATGATTTTTTAAATAGTTTTGTCAATTTTTTCCTCTTTCAAAACACTGAACAGTCAGCCAGCACCTCTTTTTTGTCAGTAATTATTGGTAAAAGGATGTATCAATTCCTTTTACGGATAAGTCACCAGAAATATTTACAGTATTTACAAAAGTGATAATGAAGATCTTTCTTTCAAATGCATTTAAAATACAGTCAAAAGTAACTTGACCTAACTTGAACAATCAAGACATACACAATTCTCCACATACATGAAAAGTTTAAACAGCATTTTCTCAGACTGCATAGCTACATTATCCTGAATAGCCATTTAGACAACACAGAATTTTTAAACAGAATCATAGAATCATCTGGTTGGAAG